AAAGTCATAATATAAGAGCATATCTTCACAAGATTGAAAATTATTTTCCAGCAAAGCACTACTGACGAAAATGAAGGCGCAACCCGATCTGTCCCAAGTTTAGCTCATAGTCAGTCTGATGAGTCTTCGCTTCCTTTGAAGCCTTCCACTCTCGCATCATCAAGCAAATACACTGAATCCTCTTCAGCCACATGCTCAAAGGAACTCGGCAGTGAAGACGCAACATTTAGCAGGAAGGTAAGATTCAATGTTTGTTCGGGGTGTGGAATGACCTTTTTGCCAACAACTTGTTCTTCAGGAAAAACCAGACCCTCAAGTCATTGACAAAACAGTGGAGGAAGATGGATTGTCAGTGGGTGTCTTCAGTGGCGTGAGTGTATCAGTTCATGTTCTGCTCTTTCAACATCTTTTTTATTTTTTTCGGGATAGGTTTTACTTTGTTTTTTAATTGGGACTAGTAATTCTTCAGCAGTTAAGAGGAGTTTTGCTTCCAAAAGTGAAGGGCCAAGTTGAGTAGTGGGGGAAATCGGCATTGGTAGATGTCACCTCATTTTTTTTACTTACTCTCCCTTAGTAGAAGCTTCCTTGGCTTTTTATCTGTCTTCTAAATAGAGAGTTAGGAGGTGTTCCTGTCATATTATCCATTTTTTAAAAGTATTTCATGTAATCTTTGATGCAGTACTCACATTATTCATCTAATAGGAAAATGAACGAGTTCTGAAATTCAGGAGGATCTGATCAAGGCGTTAACTGAGCAAAATCAAATGTATGATGGAAACAATGAAGCTTGTCGGCCTCCTCGTGGAGTTGATCCAAAAGTTCGTTTTTCATGTCTTTAGGGCTTCATCATTAGAGAACTTGCTTTGTCAGATATTCATTCACCTCTTCAACCTCTCAAAGAAAGGCAACAGAAGTTGCATAGATCAGTTTCAGGAATTCCAGAAGCTCCTCAAAATGGTTGAAGACATGAGTTGCGAGGACAGCAGCAGTGATCGCATTTCTGAAGAAGGTGGGGAGGATGGAGACGTTGAGGGAGAAGAGGGTTTGGAAAAAGAAGCTGAAAGGTATGTCGGGTAAGGATGCAGAGTTGAAGGGTAGTAATTTTGTTGCTCCAGATCTGAATTGGATTCGGATGATCTCAGCCAACCTGAAATGGGAGATGGGCGTACCGACCGTAGTTCTGTGAAGATTGGGAAATTTGTTGTCCAGAATTTGGGACCTAATGCGTCAGCGATGCCCACCAAGTCATTAGAAACTCAGAAAGCACTCAAAGAAGCGGGAAGGTCTTCAACAGAAGGCAGCGGTTCTTCTGGGATAGACGAGGTCACAAATAAAGAAACTCGGGACAATAGTTCTCCCGACAACGACGAAAGCACTGAAGTGAAAAAGAAGAAGAAAAGAAAGAAGAAAAAAGCGAGAAAGAAGAAGACCGTGATGTTTGCGGAGCAGCTTGAAAATTCTACTGTAATCGACTCACAAGCTCCGGTGAGTAGTTTATGCTGATTCCGATATTTTTATTCATAACTTTTCTTGAGTGAGGAAAAGAGGAATTATATTAAATGGTCTATCTGCGAGGCCCTATGAAGCTCCTTATCGACTGGAAGAAAAAGGCAATTCACACTACATATAATCTGAGTAGGGGGACGAATGGCACTTCAATTTTTGAATCTCTAGCCTCTGCGCGTCGAAATAAAATCTGAGAAGTGCACATTTGTTCATGCCTTCTCTGTAGGAAGTTCAGGAGTAAATGAGTTTCTGTGGCATGAGTGTCAAGATTCTCAAGTTTGTATGCGGTTATGCACTTATCTGGGATGTTGTACAGTGGCTAGCAGCTAGGCTGTAAAGCTTGCTTATGCTTGGCTGGCTCTAAAGGCTAAAGGCGAAAGTCTGAGTCTTAAGCCAATGTTATTACTTTTGTAAGTTAAAGGGAGGCGTGAAAGGTAGCGCCAGTAATGAAAAAGCGGAAACCGTTTACAAGGACGAGAATAAGGCCTCCCTCTCCAATATCGGCTATGCGCAATAGTATTGTTTCGTGAATTGGATGTATGGAGGTGAGCGGAGCGTTTGGTCGATACTTTGGCCCTATCGTAGCGCCTCAGGTTTGTTAAGTCGTGGCGTCAAGTGCGTACATGCTCTGCGCTTGCGCTCCATTCCATATTTCTCGCACAAGAGTCATTTCTTCCAGAAATCCCGAAGTTCGCTTTAAATTCATGATAACCTAATCGTGATACCATTCAAATTCATTGCAAGGATACTAATCTTGGGCAAAACATTTCGTCACATTCGAAACTCGTACGGTGAACTTTTTTGACGGGCCACAGCGCTTATAATTACACCAGTGACCCATTGTTATCACTCCTACCCAAGAGGGATAAGATCCAAGTTCAAGTCCCGGCTGAAGCGACGTGTTTGGTCCACAATTCAGCAGATATTGTGATAAGCGTCGCAGGACGATCTGTGCAGCAGTTATCAATACTTATTCAATTAAATGTTCTTTCTTGCAGCCGTCGGAGACACGTAGCTGTGAGCTTACAGCTCCTTCACAATCAAAGAAAGCGTCAATCCTTCTAAATGCTGACGAGAAGTCTCCCATAAATAAGGATGAAGTCACGAAGCTGATTGTATCGTCCAAAACTGTACTACCTGGCTCAAAGGAAGCGTTCAGTGGCGTTATCAAAGAGCGGAATGTGGAAGGTGAATTTTTTTCATGAGCATTTTATTCCTATTTTTCCACTGTGTTCTTTCACTTCAACCTGTATTGCTCACTGAGCTCATCAGAGGTCCGTGTGTTCTACTAGAGTTTGTTTCCAGTACTTACCACGAGCGATGTTCCTGCAGCCACCACGCAACCGTCAAGTTCAAAACCACAGTCTCTATTCAGAATGAAGAGATTACAAAATAGCATGTGATATTTTTGTGATTATTGCCAAGTTTCCAGATTGATAAAATATAATGCGTTCTGTTACTGTTTCTTTTGCTCAAAAAAGGTTTTCTATGTGTTATTCACATATTAAATGATTTCTATGGTTTTCCAAACCTATTATTGTTGTTGTTAGTCTTTACAAACGTACCGAATTTATGGAGCGTGGTTTTCTTGGCGGAGGTGCGGGTTGTCAGGAATTTCGTGAAATCTAGTAGAAAGGTATGTACTGACTAAATGTTTAATCTCCCCTAGGCGGTCGTTGGATAAGACTTTTCAATGATTCAATGTCCGACTTGTTTTTAGATGCAGAAAGTGAATTAATTAAATCTTGGCAGGTACCTGTGATCTCATACACTCAAACATTTGCACACTGTAATTGGCTCACTCATCGGAGGAGAAGGAATTCACCCACCTTGAAATCCCTCTTCTCCGAGGCTTAGTTCATGGGTGACCTCCCTCCCTGGGATTAGGGGCCGAGCCAGGTGCCGTTCTTTAATCGTCAATGTTCTAGCCATCCCGACTAAACCACGGAGGAAAGTTTAAATACTCACGTAACCCGATCTGTAGTACTGGGAGCGCGACTAGACAGCACAACCACTGTATTGCGTACGGATTGATACTCGTGCTAGGAAATGGGGAATTTTTTGAATGAGTGTGTTGCTAGTGTGCAGTACATGTAGGGAATGAAGTGAAGGATGTCAATACATCTTTTGTGAACTCTTAGGGGTGCATTATTAGAGCTGCAATTGATTCCAATGAATTCGATTTCCATTTCTACTTACCACCAGTACATGCACGTAATGCTCGTTCCTTGCCCATCGCCGTGATGTCACCGGCACGCGCCCACTTGCGCTACGCCAGTGAGCTTTTCCATGGGTCTCCTCACTTCACCTTCCTGCGCCCATGTATAGAACACTGGTGCAGTTCTTGCGATTTCCTTATGGTTAGCACTGGTAGCCTAAACTGTATAACAAAAAAAAACGAGTCACATTTCCAATCTCAACACCGTACAAATGGAAGCAGAAGGCTTCTGTGGAGTTCAACCAAACGAGTCCTACAATATTAGCGCTTCTGGTTAGTTGCCGCATTCTACATCTAGAGGCTTCTTTTCGAACATACAAATCGGTACAATTCCGCACCACTAACACTTCATGCAGGGTGCTTTATTGTTGTGCGCTTTTTATTGGTGGATAACCCACTGTTCTATTTAGGAAATCAGCGAGTTCTCATCAGACGCTGGCTCAGTCCCTAGGACAACTTTAGCTAAGAAATTTCAAGCGCATCCTGAAGCTTTAGATGAGGAACCACAGGTTAGTAGCATTAGTATTTATTTTCGGGTTGGTAGGGTGTGGATCGCTAGGACAGAGAGCGACTTTTTCTCGTTCAGCACGAAATTTTTTCGCTGCGGGAAGCCTGATCCGGTCCCCTCCATAGCCCCCCTACTATCTTGTCGCTGAGAAACAGGCGTTGCGTCATACAAGCCGTCGCAACTCTGCCTTTCTACATTCCAGGCAATTAGAGCAGCGGACTCCTCAGAGGAAGGAGTACAGGGTGGGCCGAAATCTTGAGGACCAAGACATTGTGTCGTTATAAACTCATGGTAGCTTGATGGAACAGACTAACTTCAGGGATGTGTTTGTAACTCTTATCTCTTATCTTATCAGTGTTTGTAACTCTTATCTATAATTAAATCCAGAATGGGATTGAGATCTGCCCCCTGCCGCGTTTACACGAGCCTTCAAATGAAAGGGGATGGCGCGTGCGGTGACTTGCAACTAAGGCGTGTCAAAATGTTTCCAGCCTTTCTGCTCTGCCTTTCGAAAGCAACGAACTCGAAAAATCGCTTTTTTAGAGAAATTTGGCCTTATTCTTAGGTGCTCGGTCCTGTAAGAAGTTCAGTAGACTACTCGAGTGGCTTTCTATCCACTACAGATGTGGAGTCTTTAGAGTGTCTGGCTAGCTTTTCACATCAATTTTTTTTCATTTTGGGAGTACGAAAGTCAACAAGGATAGAGCTAGTTTCTGCATCTGATAGTTATCCTAGTGGTAATTTAACTTTCGAGTCTCGAATTTTCTATCTTCAATGTACGAAGTTATTACGGGGTTGAACTGTTGCCCATAAGAGCTTCCGATACGTTTAGACCGTCGCTAGGATGTAACGTGCCAGAGCCCTTAGTGAGTTCAATTTGAGGAATGACGTAAGGAGATGTTGTTATTTCACTAGTTTTGAGAACTGCATGAAATTTGGTTTTATTAGGAAGAAGACATTGTACCCTCTCACATAGTGCACAGAAAAGGAGATGAAAATGGAGCGACTCGGAAAAAAGTGGATATGACCGCGCGCGCACCCGGTCCTCATAATTTTTGCCCACCTTGTACTTCAACTCAGGGGAGGAGCTGCAGGTGCCACAGAAAGGCCAAGAGCCTGCCCTAGCGACCCACACCCTGGTCAGACTAGTCTAAGTGTGCCCGAGCTTGGTGCACTATAATTTTGTGAATTCACAGGCATTACCACTATTTATCTGGCATTGTGATGCCTCGAACTGGTGGTATAGTCCATATCTCGAAGTCAGGTTAGGCGTGCCTATGGATTTGACGTGACCGTCGTCGCACTTGATAGATCGTGTGGATAAGATGTTCTAAGGTACGCTAGATAACAGCAAAGCATGCTGGCAACAGCTCTTCCGCGCAACTTCTACAAAGTACGGCTGCCGCCACGTCTAACCCCCAGCCACGCCTAATCAGACCCCCGAGATTTGGAGTATAATCCCTGTGCTAATGAGCTACAATAAAAAGCTCAATTTCAGTTTCAAATAGACGCTAGAAAAATGGCTTCAATACTCAAAGGTGACCCAAGAGTGTGCGTTTGTATTGTTCATTTATTTATTCAGCGATAGCTTCTTTTCAAGAATCAGATTTGCAGAACAGTAATAATGAACTATGAGCGAGACTGTGTGAACAATTCAGCGGCAGCCGCAGAGAAGGTGTTGGTTTTTTCTTTGCGCAAACTTTTCCGTGTTTTTTATGTACTTTGCCTCTGAATTTTATCAAAATGACTTTCGAAAACAGGTTAATGAACTGGCGCAGCAGAAGAAAATAAAGAAACGGTATCCTCAATCAGTACGTACATCAATAACTATGCTAGACGAGTCGCTTGCAAAGCTTCCCACGGTAACCTTTTCATTTCCATCTAATATTAGAATAGCTTGCGTCGGTTTTCGAGCGATTATAGCATCTGCGAAAATCTCGTGACAGAAATATCTATTACTTCCATAATAACAAAGCGTATTTGCGAGCTATTGCGCTGCGGCTATATAAGAGTTCGCAATAGTGTGGTAAAAGTGCCATTAAGTGGACGCTTTCCCTCGAAGACCGGTGGGCGAGTATCTATACGCTCTCCTGCTTTAACTTTATATGCACAGAGTACTGCTTTTCTCGGTGCATATAAAATTTACGGATCGACTACAAAAGTCCAATTTCTGCAAAAGATTTTCAATGTACAAAGTCACGTTGCCCTCAAAACAAACGTTATTTGCACCCGAAGCTGGACACCCTTGAAGCTGGTTGTAGGCAGCTGCAAGCTCCCTTGCTGCAGACCAACCTAATGGTTCATCCAGCTATGATTTCTTTAGCTCCTGGGAATTTTTTGACATTGCCTTTGACATTGCCTTTTTTTCCTTCGAGACTTGTTGTCAGACATTTGTGAGCAAGAATGAAACTATCGTAGATGTTTTTGTGCATGCGCTGTTTTATCTCTAGTCTATAATTTAGTTCGAAACATATAATTCGGTTCTTTCTTTCTTCTGTTTATTATGGTGATGATGTA